TCCATATTTTTTCCATTCCATTTCATTTATTTTGATATAATTAAGGTCATTTGGCACATGGGATTTTATGTCCCTTTTATAGTTAACAGTGTAAGTCCATTCCCACGTGTCAGTCTGTTCAGACTTCTATTACAAAATATTATGAACAGGTAGCTTATAAACAATAGATGTGTCTCCATTTATTTCTGACAGTTCTAGAGCCTGGGAAGTCAGGGATCAAGGCACCAGCAGATTCGGTGTCTGATCAAGGCCCATCTTCTGGTTTATAGATAGCACCTTTTCACTATGTCCTCACGTAGTGGAAAGAAGTCAAGAATGAGCTCCCTTGAGTCCTATGTATAAGGTCACTTATCCCATTCATGAGGGCTCTGCCCCTTATGACCGAGTTACCTCCCAACAGGCCCCACCTCCTAATGCTATTGTTGTGGGGATGAGGATTTCAACATGAATTTCAGACCATAGCACTATATCAATAAACTTTATTCAGGAATTATCAATAGCTCTTCTTCATTTGGGTATGTCATAATTTGCTAATTTCCCTGATGAAGAATGTTTACTGAGGTCCTAATGTTTAGTTATTAAAGATTATGGGGCAGTGCCCATTGCTCAGTGGGTAGGGTGCTGGTCACAGACATCCATGCTGGCGGGTTCAAACCCAGCCCAGGCCAGCCAAAACAACGATGACAAGTGCAACAACAACAAAAATAGCCGGTAGTTGTGGCAGGCGCCTGTAGCAGGAGGCTGAGGCAAGAGAATTGCTTAAGCCCAAGAGTTTGAGGTTGCTGGGAGCTATAACGTCACAGCACTCTACTGAGGGCGACATAGTGAGTCTTTGTCTCAAAAAAAAAAAAAAAAAGATTATGGTGCATCATACATCTGTGTCAGTCAGTCTTTAGCTGTGATTTGTGATTATGCTGGAGGTTAATTAATAGTACAAAGGAATGACTGTTTGAAAGACGTATAATTTAGCCATGACCCCCATCTCCTTCCTTCAGCTTCCCCTTCCCTTGGCACAGCAGGGCCCAGGTCAGAGCCTTTGCACTGCTGACCAGAGGAGCAACAGGCTGCCCTTCCAAGCCTCCAGCAGAGCCTACCGGCCACTCTCACAGCCTGTCCCGTGAGATGTTCATGTGTCACCATTATCAGTGGGCAAGCAAGGCACGGGCAAACCTTGCCTTGTTTATGATGTTTCTTTGAGAAAGAAAAGTAAATAGTCTTACAGTCTGTTGATAGCACAAATAGTAACACACATCTCTCTGTCAGGGAGTGTAATTCATGCTTAGCAAAGAATGCAACTCCGTGAATCCATAGAAAGTCTGACAATTTTGAACTGACAATACAAACTTAGTCTTTCTTGACCCTGCACTGCTTGAGAGGAATTGGAATACTCTTGTTTCCTATAAGTTAAAGGCAGCAGAGGCAGGCAGTGTGGGGAGAACTGCCGGTGTGCTCTCTTACGTTGGATTTCTTTATTTTCAGGTGGTGTTGGAATTACCTGTTGGATTTTAGTCTGTAACAAAGTTGTGGCCATTGTGCTTCATCCTTTCAGCTGAAAAGGAAGATAAATGTGGCAGTGAGACATTTGAAAAATGGATTTTCTTTTATATTAGGTTAAAAATCTTATTTATCCTTTTTGCTGTTGAATATGTTTGTTCTTAGACTTCATGTGAGATCCTTGTAAGAATTAAGATTTTTCTGCACTTGTCTTTGGGCCAGAAAAGTCCGTTTATGACACATGTAACTTTTATTTTCCCCACAAAAATGTACATGTTTCCTGCTTTCTTGTGGACCTGAGCCGGAATGCCGAGGATGTTGGGGGTTTCCTCCATGACTCTGACTAGCAGGTTGTCAATATAGTCTCCCAGCTCATGGACCTGAAATTCCTTCTGACTTATGTTTCCTTCTGTTTGAGGACCATCTGGATCAGCTCATCAGAGGTCAGCTGTGCTTAAGCAAAGGCAGGGTCCTCGGAGGGGTCCTATTTCTTTTTTTTAGAGACAGAGTCTCACTTTATCACCCTCAGTAGACTGCTGAGTCGTCACAGCTCACAGCAACCTCCAGCTTTGGGGCTTAGGTGATTCTCTTGTCTCAGCCTCCTGAGTAGCTGGGACTACAGGCACCCACCACAACACCCGGCTATTTTTTGTTGCAGTTTTGCTGGGATCGGGTTTGAACCCACCACCCTCAGTAGTATATGGGGCTGGTGCCCTATCCACTGAGCCACAGTTGCTGCCTGAGGGGTTGTATTTCTTCATCACTGATGATGGTGGCAGTTCCCAAGCTGGAGTTAGCAATCTTGGTGGCTGTTATGTTCATTGGCTTCACAGGATGAAGTCTGTGCTTGGCTGACCCAGGGGCAGTGCCTGGCTGAGCTGAGACTGGATGTGTCTCTGAGGGTGAGACCCATTCCAGATCTGTGGGAAATGTGTAACATGGGAGTTGCACACTTTTGTCATATTTTGATCATATCATCAACTGGAAAGTCAAAATTTTCTAACAAGTAAAGGCATAGTGCTATTTTTAATCTAGTTTAGAAAGTAACTTGATTTTAATATCACTACTCAAATTTGAAAATTTGCTTTTTAATCTCATGGAGTACACCTAAAAGTGTAACACTAATTGGCACTGCTTGTGCTTCTTCCTCAGTCTGAAATATCGTTTGTTGGACAGGTCTTTGTATAGTAGTATTTACTTATTTGAAGCTGTTAATTTCTTGTGACAGTGTTTATAAATGTATTCTTGAGACTATAATTCTTTTGTGCTCAAATTGTGTTATGTATTTAAAGCATTTTAAAATGCAGTGTATTTTATAAGCATTTAATATTTATGCTTTATAGAATTGAACAGAGTTTAAAAAAAAAACCCTAGTAATCCTGATTAAATTAATCTGAACTGAAATCTGTTTGGCCTATAAAGTATAATTCTACTTAATCTTTTTAAAAACACTTTTCTTGGGCAGTGCCTGTGGCTCGGTGAGCAGGACGCTGGCCCCATATACTGAGGGTGGTGGGTTCAAACCCAGCCCTGGCCAAACTGCAACAAAAAAAATGGCTTGGCATTGTGGCAGGTGCCTATAGTCCCAGCTACTGGGGGGAGCTGAGGCAAGAGAATTGCCTGAGTTCAAAAGCTGGAGGTTGCTGTGAGCTATGATGCCACAGCACTCTACTGAGGGTGACAGAGTGAGACTCTGTCTCTAAAATGAATAAATAAATAAATAAAACACTTTTCTCCTATTAAAATCTTTGCAAATGCTTGTGTGACTTCCTTATTAGCCACTTACTTGCTGTGAGCAACCCCTAACTGACTCAGAGCCATTAACTAAGAGGGTAACCAGAGCAACTGTAAAGCTAAATGCTGTCCTTAGTTTTTGAAAGATCACATTTCTTTTTCTCGGGTACCCTAATTATCAATAGGTAGTTCGTAATTATTTTGGCTAATTGTACTAGAAAAGACAAGGTGCTGTGGTCCTTTAGTTTACTGTCATATAACTGAAGGCCCCCAGAGTGGGCTGTAGCTTCTGCTCTCTGAGCTCCGTGCTGCAGGCCTGCCTAGCTCCAGGCTTTCTTAGCTTTAAGGAAGGGCACAGCAGGGGGCGCAGTACCGTGGAGGACCTGAACTCTGGCTCCCAGTATCTTCTTGCCACACAGAATGCATTTTGGCCATAAAAGATGAGAACGCAACCTGAAGACGAAGCTTAGTGCTGGGAAGGCACACACCTACCTCTCACCTCGGTGGGCTGCATAAGTAAACAGCTGGGCAGCCAGGTACAGAATGCCAGAGACAGCTTTGGATCAGTAGCTGGTGTAAAGTCCCTCTGAGGAGACCCCTATCTCCTAAGCATGTGTTATTTCAGTTGGTAACTGCAGAATTTTGACAATCTTGTGGCTAGAGGGAAAGGAAAGATTTATAGTTCGTAGCTGTTAACTCCATATATATGAATAGAATGTGAAGATTAGGGGAAATTTAAATGTCCCTCATATGTCATATCATTGTTTTTTCAAAAATTGTATTTGTTTTAAAATAGGTAGCAAACATGCTACTGAATTCAAAAGATCCAGAAAGTGACACAGTAAAAAGCGTTTCTGATCTGCTACTGTCTTGTCACCTAGTTTCCCATTGTTGCCAGTTCCTATGATTCTTCTCATGATATTCTATGCATTTATGGATATTGATATATGTGCTTTTAAAATAAATATTTTTAAATTATAAAAGTAATACTTAGTCCCAGCTACTTGGGAGGCTGATGTGGAGGATTACTTGAGCCCAGGAGTTGAAGACCAGCCAGGGCAAAAGAGTGAGACTTTGTTTCAAAAAAAAAATGAAATAAAAGTAATACCTAAAAACAACAACAACAACAACAAAAAGTAATACTTATTTGCTGCTTTTTAAAAAAAAAATCTAACTTGAGGCTTGGTGCCAATAGTTCAGTGGGTAGGGCGCCAGTCACATACACTGAGCCTGGCAGGTTCAAACCCAGCCTGGGCCAGCTAAAATCAACAATGACAACTATAACAATAATAACAACAACAAAAATAGCCGGGTATTGTGGCAGGCGCCTGTAGTCCCAGCTACTTGGGAGGCTGAGGCAAGAGAATCTCTTAAGCCCAAGAGTTTGAGGTTGTTTTGAGCTGTGACACCAAGGCACTCTACCCAGGGTGACATAGACTCTGTCTCAAAAAAAAAGAAAAAAAATCTAACTTGGGAAGCACAGAACTGAAACAAGCAAGCAAAATGTCCCATGATTCCATAGAACTGGGGTTACTGAGTTAATGGTTGTGCTTTTTGCTTTTTTCTTTATATGTGTGTGTAATATTTACAGATAGCTGGTACGTTTGGGGGGTTAAAAATTTTTTTTTTATGTATTTTTTGAGACAGAGTCTCAATTCATTGCCCAGGCTAGAGTGCTGTGGTGTCAGCTTAGCTCACAGCAACCTCCAACTCTCCTGAGCTCAAGTGATCCTCCTGCCTCAGACTCCTGAGTAGCTGGGACTACTGGTGTGCAACATGACCCCTGGCTAAGTTTTCTATTTTTAGTTGAGGTGCGGTCTCTTGCTCAGGCTTGTCCTGCCTTGGCCTCTCAGAGTGCTGGGATTATAGGCATGAAGTACTGTGAACACTTTTTTTTTTTTCGAGACAGAGTCTCACTATGTTGCCCTTGATAGAGTGCTATGGCATTACAGCTCACAGCAACCTCAAACTCTTGGGCTTAAGTGATTTTTTTTTTTGGCCAGGGCCAGGTTTGAACCCACCACCTCCAGTATACAGGGCTGACGCCCTACCCCTTGAGCCATAGGCACCACCCAAGTGATTCTCTTGCCTCAGCCACCCAAGTAGCTGGAACTACAGGTGCCTACCACAATGCCCAGCTATTTTTTTTGTTACAGTTGTATTGTTGTTTAGTTGGCCCAGCCGTGTTTGAACCCGCCAGCCTCAGTGCACGTGGCTGGTGCCGTAACCACTGTGCTACAGGCACCGAACCTCATCTTTATTATAGTTTTGGAAGATACGCAGTTCTAGGACGATAGCTATTCTGTCAGCATTTTGAAAATCCTATTCAACTAATTTTCTTTTTTCTTTTTTTGACTCAGAGTCTTACTTTGTTGCCCTCAATAGAGTGCAGTGGCATCACATCTCACAGCAACCTCAAACTCTTGGGCTCAAGTGATTCTCTTGCCTCCCGAGTAGGTGGGACTACAGGTGCCCACAGCAATGCCTGGCTATTTTTAGAGATGGGGTCTTGTTCTTGCTCAGGCTAGACTTGAACCCATGAGCTCAGGCAATCCACCTGCCTTGGCCTCCCAGAGTACTAGGATTACAGGTGTGAACCACCACGTCTGGCCCTAATTTTCTAACTTCTGTCATTGAGAAGTTCAGTTCTTCCTTTAAAGATAAGTTCTTTTCCTTTATGGTAACTTCAGTTTCATCATGCTCTAACTAGGTGTGAATTTCTTTTTATTTTAGTTGCTATTTATTTTGCTTGGGATTCATTGGGTTTTCATAACCAATGCATTGATATCTTTTGTCATTTCTGGAAAATGTTGAGCCTTTACTTTTTAAGGCATTTAGCCCTGCTCCATCTCTCTTCCCTCTTAGAGCTTTGTTGATTTCTTTCACTGTGATCTCCAGGATGTTTTACCTTCCTCTCAGATTTTCTCTCTGTCTCTCTGTGCTTCTATATTGGCAATTTCTTCTCCTATTTATTGAGTTAATTTAAATTGTTCTATGTCCTCTGAGTTCTTTTTTATGTATTTTCACATGAGCTTGGTCATTTATTATAGTTCTTGTTCCTTTTATTCATGTTTTCAGACTCATTTCCTTAAACATTTATGTCAATATTAATAAAACATCTATTTATTTTGAATATCTGATGTTGGTTTGCCTATCACCTTGTTTTCTTATATTTTGTGATGGGAGGGGGCTGCAAGTTTGTTTTTGTTTTGTTTGCTTTTTTTTTTGGAGACAGAGTCTCTACTTGCCCTTGGTGTCATAGCTCACAGCAACCTCCAACTCTTGGGCTCAAGTAGTCCTCTTGCTTCAATTTTTTTCTATTTTTAGTAGAGAAATGGGGTCTCCGTTTTGCTCAGGCTGGTCTCTGGAACTCATGAGGTCAAACAATCCACCTGCCTCAGCCTCCCAGAGTGCTAGGATTATAATGGTGAGCCACCCTGCCCAGTTTTATTCTGTTTTTTAAATTACCTGTGGTCTGGCTTGGTGCCCATAGTGCAGGGGTTATGGTGCTAGCCACATATACTGGGTTTGAGCCTGGCTTGGGCCTGCTAACCAACAATGACAACTGCAACAAAAAATAGCTGGGAGTTGTAGCCGGGGCCTGTAGTCCCAGCTACTTGGGAGGCTGAGGGAAGAAACTCACTTAAGCCTAAGAGTTTGAGGTTGCTGTGAGCTGTAGCGCCACGGCATTCTACCGAGGGTGACATAGTGTGACTTTCTCAAAAAAAAAAAAAAAAAAATTACCTGGGGTGCTAGGCATGGTGGCTCATGTCTGTAATCCCAGCACTGTGAGAGGCTGAGGTGGGAGAATTGCTTGAACTCAGGAGTTGGAGACTTGCCTGAGTGAGAGTGAGATCCCTCACCCCCTGACTCATTAAAAATGTTGAAAACCCAGCTGGGTGCTGCAGCCAGCGCCAGTGCCTGTGATCCCAGCGGCTTCCCGGCTTCCCGGCTTCCCGAGGCTGAGGCAGCAG